AGTAGTTATATTTGAGGCCTGGCAGAATTCTCTGTGGGAGGTGTGCCCTACCTATATGCCTTAGTGCGCAATTTAACTTGGTGCTTTTCAGCACACTGCTGTGAGTTGTTAAAGTCTTCCCACCTTTTGCCTAGAGGTTGCTCCATTTCAGGGAGATATGTAATTCTTGCACTAGTTTATAGCTCATATATGAAAGCTGATGGCAAAATCATCGCCAAAGTGATGGCAAGATCATCATCAAGATGAGGTGCACTTTTAGGACATGTTGCATTCTTTGTTCTTTTTTTGAGAACCGCAAAAAGAGATCCACTTCTTCCTGCAACTTTCCTCTGAACCTCCCTTAGAAGACAACAGAGTATATGAAGCAGAGCTACTCTCTCATAGTTCAAATGTCTCCTTTACCAGCAGTCAGCACTGCACTTAACTAGAAGTATCATATTTCAGTTTAAATTAGTGCCTAATGAACTATTCATATTTTCTAGTTTTTACTACTGCAACTAGTATTCACTAACAGTAGTTACAGAGAGAAATACTAGATTGGTCTAAAAAAATTAATTATAAGAAGCCACATTCTACTACTATTATTAATTGAATTTGCTCATTGAGAGTTAAAAGTTAAACAATTTCTATCTTATAGCTGAAAGAGAGCCTTTGAAAAGCAAATTAAAATAACCAAGAAATCCAGCATACTCAGTAATTTTGATTGTCATCCTACTTTATAGAGTTTTGTAGCCACAGTCTACAGGTTTGTGGTGCTGAAAGTAAACATAGTTAAACAGACAGGAAAGTTTTTCAGATATTTTATTACATGAATTTACAGTACAGAATTGCTTATATGGACAATCATAAAAACAGCCTCTACAATAATGCTGGCTACAAGCAACTTACTATTTGAGGCTCATGAATATAAGAGTTATGTAAACAAAAAAGCTAGGCTCAGGTTCAGCAGGATTATTTCAAGAGTAAACACATTAAAAATAGACATATTTAGTAAAAGGACATGATAGGGACCCAGTTGAGCCAAAAATATGTTTTTGACAAGGTACTCAACCTACCTGTGTTCCTCAGAAAGATAAGGAGGAAAATAGTCTTTTTTGCCCTTAAACTGGATTGTGAAGCTTAACTCTTAAAGAGCCTTATTTGAAGCCATTAAAGCAAATAGAAATTTCTCGTTGACTTTAATGAGCTTTTGTTCAGGTCTCTTACAAGTCAGCCCAAGCACTGCCTTTGACTTCAAGCCCTAGTTTTATAAAGCTCATTCATATCCCCAGCTTGAAGGCATTTGGAAACATATGAATGTAGTAATTAGAGTATTATATTTAACAGTGAAATCTCCATAAGATAAAACTGGCATTGTCTTTTTTAAAGTGCTTTTCACTGCATGTGTGTGCATCTGGGAATATATTAGTTACTGTATACAATTTTTAATAACTCCTTCTTAGATACTCTGTTGGTTGCAAAATCATCTCTGCACTCTGCTGGATGATGGCTCAAAACATTTAATCCAAGCAAAGTACAGTTTATAATGCCTTTTCTCCAGAATATTGGACAGAGAATGTAAGTTGCCACTTTACTTTTCTGTTGGTATTATACAGACTCTGCCAGCAAAGACAGTATCTGACATGAAATAAATTTTACCCTCTAAATTTTTTAAGAAATTTGAAGCAGCAGAGTTTAACACTTCACCAATTATTTATAATGCCTCTTGCATTTCTGATCTAAGAAAGCAGAAGTATTGCCATTGTATATATATCTTAATTATATAAATGATTTGTTATCACATTCCTGTAGTATGTCAAGTAAGAAAGGCTAAGCTAATATTATAAAAACATCACTTCATTCAGAATTTAAAAACAGCAACAGTCAATTTAATAGAAATCCCTATTCTAGTCTAGGTAATTGAAAAAAATTCCAGAAGGATGTAATTTTTTTATTCCCTTAAATAATAGCAAAAATATGCAAGTTCTCTGAGCATTTATTGGCTTCTATTCAAAGCAGCTATTTTCAGTATTATGAATGGCTGAAATATTTTCAAACCTGAAACACATCAGCCATAGTGTTATATAACAGTTACCATTCAGTATTACACAAGGCATTTTTTAAAAAAGACAATGTGCAATATCCATGAACTAATTAATTTAGTCCGATACTCTGGAAAGGTAATTGATATTTAAGTTTTGATCACATAGAGAGTTAATAGCATTTCTAATTCAGCACTACCCATAGATGCCCTGTTATTTTTGTAATATCAGTTAAAGTATTAATTTCATTCAAAGACACGAGTAACTGAAAGGAAATGTTAAACCTATACAAATCTTAGTTGAAACATTTTCATTTGATTTACACACTTCAGGAAAATATCTGTCTATTCCTTAAAAATCTAATTTTGGTCCTATAAACTCATGCAATAAAGCAACATGAACTTATGAATTTATGAATTTATTTTTTTATTTATATATTAATTTATTTGAATTTATTTTATGAAATGTTTATGAACTAAATAAAGATAATTTAATCTGCCCAGGTTTTACAGTCTAGAAATATCTCTCCAAAGATGCATCTAATTTAGAAATTGATTGGTATCAGGGCTTTTGCTTTACCAACCTAACCCATTAGGCCATTACACATATTGTTGTTCTTCAAGAGTAAAAATTATTCTAACATCTGTTCTCAGTATGGTTTTCCATAATTTCCTTTTATGCCCCATGTAACTCATTAAGTTCATCTACAAAACATTACTGAGTCTACACTACAAATGTCTATAAATGTCTTTCTACTATAAGACCATATGAAAATTGAAAAAATCATCATAGTAAGTTTTCTGACAAAAGAAAGCATATCTAGTTTTAAAAGTCAGAATTTTGACACAGAAAATGTTTAACCTAATCTCTTAAGTGATCTGTATACTAACGAACTGAGAAAAACATGTCTAAATCTTACTATTGTACTGGCTGTTCCTTATGACTGTTGCAGTCTTCTGAGAGAAAAATTTTTTAAGAATATACCTCCTGAATGGCTTGAAGAGAGTGATTTTAATATTTTAATTCACTTGCGAATTAAAGTGAAAAACTTACTCTTAACTCCAGAGTAAAGAACACAGAAGGCTAGAAAATGTCCCAGTAACCTGAAATCTCACATGTGTAGAATTGAAAAGAACCTAGAGCACAGCATGTCCTTCTAGATACACTTTCCATTTTCTTCCACAGTTGAAAAATTTCTATATTTTATTATTCTAAAGCTAGTTTCCATCCCTGTGATCTCTTATGCCCCTTCAGCCTGCATTCAATGATTGCTGTTCTAATTTAATTTCAGAGGAAAATACCTATTTACAGCTGACTTGCCCACAATGTGTTCATCAAAGCAATATAAAAGTCATTCCTCCTGCACAAAGATAAATCATTCACTGTGAAGAACTGCACTACCAGATCTCAAATGGCACCACTGCTGTAAGAAAAGTGACATACTATCTGATGTTAGCTAACAACTGATAACTAACGTGAGATCAGAGCCTGAGTGGTTTACTAATATTTATAAACAGCTGTGAATTAAGTAAAATCTGAGGGTACTTAGATTTAGCCCAATATGCTATCTTGCATGAAAACTGCATGAGCCTACCTTGAGGATTTTACCTTGTAAGAATTTCTGTGTGAGTTGTTGTAAATCTGAAACCAATGCCCAACTGCTAAAGTTTCTTTATGCCCTGAGTCTACATTGGCAATATACTTGTAAGTAAAAAGAAGGCTAGTGGCTTTATGGCTAAGATTTATCTTGGGAACAAAGAGTGACAGAGAGAAGCCTACTAAGGGAGGAAAGAGATATCTTTACAGGATAGACTGAATTAGATCCTGTAGGAAAAAAACTCCAAAGCTAGATGTTAGAAATCTTAGAAAATAGTAGCAGGAAAATAATAATGAAAGACAGCAAGAAATACAATCAAAAAATAAGTGAGACAAACCAAGAGTGGCATCAATATCACATATTCAAAACCAATTTTGCATTTTTTCCTGAGAATAAATTATTTCAAGTTAATGATTGGGCTAAACTTCCAGAAGCCAGACAAACTCATGAAGTCCTTGTTGTTATTAATTCAATTAGAGTCTGTGGGGTGACTTTATGAAATAGATGTGAAAGGCGTAAGGGTAGAAAAACCCAGCCTTGACAACTTCCCTTTGACAAATGGTGGTTTTTAAAATAACATTAGAAGAATATTCTTTCTTAAAGGCATGTCAAAAACCTATATGTGGAATAGGGCTACAAGGATTTTTATTTCCCCAGCAGAATACACAGCTTATGCAACTATTTCCTGCATTCCACATTAAGTTAAAACAAGAACAAGAATCTACACAAACTGTAACAAAACCAAAACCAAACCAAAACTAGAGGGCAGAGAAAGCATTTATTGTCTTCCTGATGAAGAGATGCACACTTTTACCAGTCAAGAAACAGATTTTGCAGCTTATGTTTTCATTCAATATGAAAATGATCCTATGCAAAGAAAATTCAAATATTTTTCAGGGGGAAGGTTTTGAAATATCTGTCCTATTTTCTATGGACTAATTTACTAGTTAACACTTAGTAAGCACAGTTATGGTTTCCTAATTCTTTATTCCAGCACTGGTGCTAAAGCAAGACCTAGCTCCCAGGAGTGTACCATTCCAAATTACATCAGCTGGCAACATGTCCTCAGGGAGCATCTGTCAGATGCAGGAAACTGGCTCGCTCTCTGGATACTGTTTTAGTAAATCCCTCCAAATTTAAAATCTCCACCACTTCTCTTTCCATGGGGTGAATTAAAAGAAGTCTTTATTCTTTTTATAATAGCTGAGAACAAACTCAATATCCACTGACCAAGATACTTTGTAAAGTCTACTAATTCTCAAAAAAATAATAAAACTACAATCACAATAAATTCACACTTGCTGTGTTTCACAAATGACCCAAGAGACATATAAAGCTTTTTAGTTGCGAAGTATAAAGTGACATACAGAGAATTAACTTACAGGGCCAAAAGCATTGCTGTCAAAGCTGTGTCCATGATGATCCCCTTCTACCCAAATATGACCATGTGGAACTTTCACATACTTCTTTTTGTATCCAATGGTTCTAGAGACAATTGAAAAAGAATTGTTAGTTAAAAAGAAAAAAATTAAATGTTTTGTTGGGAAAATTCCCATATTTGAGTTTGGAATTTGACCTTGCATTCTACTCAACACTTTAAAACAAGCCCCACCAGAATCCTTTATACTTCAGGAGTGATACTCAACTCAAAATACATACAATTTTTTATGAGCTAGTTGCACTATCAGGGCCTGTTTACTACCTTGCTTTGTCAGAAATCATATCACAACAATGGAAGAAGAGACTTTTCAATTAAATATAGTTAAGGGATTATTACTTCTGTAGTAATAAAATTTCGAACTTTCAGATTTTATCTCAGGTAAATACCAGCGAACATCTATTGCAGTCTCATATATTTTATGTGATATTATATGAAGAATGCTTTTCCTGTGGTAGCATTAGGTACTCATCAAAAATACTCTGGTGTATCTGAACAGGCCTCGCATTCAGAGCTTATATTCCTGCAATGATTATGTCCTGGGGGTAGGATTTCTTCAGCTGTAACAAGCTAAACAGGATAAACTTAAAGGAAATCTCTGGGAGAAGGCCAAGTGATGAAAAAAAAATGACACTGATGATTCAAACCATTCTCCACAGAAAATCATACTGCCTCAGCATGTGCCAATATTACAGAAATGACAAACTACAGATGAGTCCTAAAGCTGAGATGCAGAGTATGCAAAATTCCTGTATTTAGTTCCCCAAGTAGCTGTCATTTTCATAAAGCCAGTCTGCCTTCTACCACACACTTTTGCTTTCTTTCAGATGGGACCTGTTATTCTGCAATCATTCATGCAAAGAAGTTGTTCTAGTTTAACCCCAGCTGGCAACTGTCACGCATGCTGAATTATTACCATGCTGAAGCATTTACAGATGGGACTACGAGTAATGATACCTTGTATTTTGTTTAGAATAAACAAGTTTGTCCATAGATAGAAAGAGACTTTTGATCTAGGTTGTTGCCTCCAGCTACTCATGGCTTTTCACTCTCTGGAAGATATACCCTCAGAGCATGAGGCAGAAGGAACTCACTCTAAAGAAAAATCAACTGGAGAGAGAAAATCATCTTTACCAGGAGATGCAGCTGAACTGTGTAACAGCGCTGTTCACAAGGCAAAACAAAAAAATTGCTTTGTGAGGCTTGTTTTGCTTGGGGAGGAGGATGAATATGTTATAAGGACAAGCTAATTAATAACCTGGAGACCATGAAATATTAGATGAATAGGGAATCTTCAAAAGTGAATTTTATTAACTTTCTTTGACTATATTAGTCAAGTAAAAATTAAAATTAGTTGCTTTGCAAGTCACAAAATCTGACCAGTGCTTTTCCAAACAGCTTCTTTTCTGGCAGCTAAAAGTATGAGTATGCCACTACTATATTCTAATGGAATTTCTACTTGAACTTTCATTGGAAGCTGAAAAAATAATAGCGGAGATTTGCAGAAAAAAAGACTGAATTTCATTTTTTTTCCTAGAACAGTTTCATATTACACATTATTCAAGACTAAAGTCCAAAACTATTCATAATAAAAATATAAAACTGTCCTGATTTGGTAATTATATTATTTCCTAAACAGAAAGAGTAGTGCTATTTAATTATACTAAAACCCCAATTTATTACACACATATACTTCCTCTTTTTTTTCTTTTCTTTTTTTTTTTTTTTACCCCCCGAAATATGGTATACTGTTTGGAGAATGAAATTATGTTTTGAGATTCCATGCTTTGTCTCACTGATAGTTTACTTTATAAAGAACCATATATTTTACTAGAGAAATGTTTTAAGATGTAGGTTAAGAGTTGTAGATTAATTCATTAATTGATTAGACACTTCTGAAAATTATTAAACAGATAACTTCCATCAGTGATAAAGGCAAACAATAGCTCAAAAAATATTTCATTTTCTCTTCCATTCATCCTCTTGAATATATAAAATAAAGTTTTGCACCTGTACAGACTTCATGCACAAGACTGTATTTCACTCAGAAAGGTGAAAGGATTTGAATGTTAATTCTGCTGACACGATTACCTCATAAATATCAGGAAAATAACATGGCCAATGCCAGTCAGTGACTCCATCTCAGACCAGAAAAAAATTTCCTACTCACAAATAATCTCCTCTTGTATTACAATTAGGAAATTACTAACAGGACGGGAAAAAAATGGGTCTGCAATAAATAGAATCATAGA